GGTTGATGCCGCATACATTGTTGCAGCCTTGTTTTGTGATATAGAGGCCGTCCGGTTGTGGTTCCCAAACTGTGCCGTGGAACGCGTATTGCTTAAACAAAGTTGAACTGGTCTGGAATTCAACTGGACAATTAGTGAAAGTAAGAGGCATTTCTTCAAAGATTTGGAAAGCATGTCTGCAGACGGGAGAGACTGGCAAATTCATACACTCGAGGCTGTCTCTAGAGAAGAACATTGACAAAAGAATGGGGTGAAGTTGATGGGGATTCTAGACTATACCAACAGAGATATCTAGATTCATAGTAAAATTCCATGCATAGCTTACATGTGACTACTATCTTGGTATATTAAGGCCATTCCGGTCGTCCTTCACACATTGGGCTTTCATTCACGGGTGGACTTTCCTTCCTACCTTGTTTTGGCGGTCAGGTTCTGTCTGAATCTCTTGTCGGCAGATATCAACTCCAGACCCTCGGGGCCCTTTTACGTCTTCATGATCCAAATTATTTCAGCCCGGACTTTGCGTCAACTACAATCCAATAATAGCTCAACCCAAACACCATAAATCTCGTGATAGCCGGTTCCGCCCGTATCCTGCCACATTCCATCAAGCTCTGCTGATTTCCAATTCCCATATTTCTATCTTTTGAACCATGAATATGATGGATCTTACGGCCAGGAAGGAGCCCTCATCGGAAGGGGGAATGCACCGTCTGGATGGTTCGACCGCATTCCGCCTGCACGGACGAAGAAGCCATAATGGCGTTGCTGTAAATTTTAACCCAAACCTCTACACATCTTGGCATCCAGACCACACTAATTCGGGGAGGGACTGTCAATGAGCCTTATCTTGCGGACTTAGCTTTTATAGCCTGGAAAATCTCGAGTGGTACTTTGTAGAGAAACTACTGAGAGGTGTATACTAGCCTATCTCCCGTTTTACGGGGGGTGGCTACTGTGATCAGGAGTGTCCCATAGTAAGTCGCTTTGCCTACATGTATACATATTATCAGGCCGCGAATCTGTAGGATAGAGGTTCTGTACCTTGTCTGGCAGTCACAAAGGTTGCTGGCTGACTTCGACTCCAGGTCTTACATTGCATTCTTACGGGTCGACATAATATGTATTTTGATCGGCTGGGCCAGGCCTGTTCCTGGTATGTCTCTGTTTAGTCTCATCCTTGCGAACTATGCCGACCTATGTCTTAAGTCCAACAAATCAGGCAACTTGAACCTTGTCCTACCTTGAATCAACACTTGTGGCCACACAGTCCGCGCTTACGCGACGGTAGACGAGGTCAAGGAGATCTCAATTGAACCGCGTTGTCAAGGAAATGCTTCTTTGATTTCTGTTGAGCTCGCAGTTGCGGGGTCGGTGAATTGACACATTGATTCCAGTTAGAGCGAGAAGTATAAGAACATTGCGATGCACTGAAGTATAGTCACGTTTAGCAAATGCCAAGGGAGACATTGGTCTCTCAGAAACCATTGATTGGCTCAATTCTCACTCGTTACGCTCATTTTCTCCCCTTTCTCCCACATTCACTGATTGATGCCCACCCTTGAAGATGCGGTCCTTGAAATCTCTCTCTTTCAGCCCTCTTCCTAGGCCATGCCATCGCCTCTCCGATCGCGACCACCATAGGACAAGACGAAAATGATATTGTTATAAATATCTACGGGAGTCACCACATAGTCATTAACGAAATCGCTGAAACTGCGGCGTGCTCTGGGAGTGATACCTCCAGCCCTCATCGCCTCGAGTTTGGACCGGGAGCTTCAGCTCAAGGGCCTCCCCGGCCCAATTTGGTAGTCAGCCCAGGAGTCACTGTAGGCGGTGGCTCCGCGGGTGACTCTACGGGAGGCGCTCCGGGTGGCAGTCCTGCAAGTTCTCCTCCTGCAAACCAACTTTCGCCACCAGTCTCACAACCTACTATCCTCATCCCAGCCTGCGACCCTGCTCTGGACCGATCTTCTTTGGACCATCTTTCGTTGAACCCAAAGCAAGACTTTTATTATACTCAACAAGGCATTGGATCTGGTATTGGAACTGTTGCTACTGTGAAAGTCCCACAGATGGTCTATCCTGCTGTTCAGCTGCAGGTCTCCTCGGCCATCCAGGGGGTCACTTGCACCTCCAACTCGGCTCAAATCCAATTTGGCAACCAATATGCTTATGATATAGCGCTGGCGAACTGGAACAAAGCCGGTACATTCATTTTGGTTGCCTACGGCGAGGGCTGTGGTCTTGGCTATGCGGTAGGGGAATAAGATTATCTGGTCGTCACTAGTGTTACTGGCGACGGCTCTAGCACCATCACAGCCGTGATCTATATCACTGATTTCGAGGGTGCTGTTGGGAGAGAGACAATTGTCACTGTTGACATCGGCATTTTCAACCCTACAAATGACACTGGTGGTTTCACTATCATTCCTGGAGCTGGCAACAACACGACCGATGGTGCCGCGGGTGGTAACCTTGGTGGTGGAGGAGGCGGCGGAGGGGGCGACGGGGCCTCCCTACCATCTGGCTTTGACAGCTTCGATGAAGAGCTTGATAACCAGATCGGACTTGTGAGCGTCGATGACCCTGATTTCGACGCCCAGTTCTTCCCAAGTCCAGCAACCTCGACCAGTAGTCATAGAAGAGCCGCGAACCGTGTCACTGAAATCGACATCGAGAAACGTGGAATCGGTGACTTTTTCAGAAAGGTTGGCGACAAAATAAAAAATGCAAGTGCTGATGAATTCAATCAGAGGCGAGACGCTGACAGTTGCCAACACAGACCGCACGAGCGGCAGAAGATAAGGCTAAAGAAGCATTGACCAAAATTGTCATGTTCTTCAAGGACGCGAAAGACCGCCTCGAAGGAGAGGCTTTGAAAGCCCTTAATGCCGTGTCTCGATTCACAAGCATCGACAAAACATTAAGCGGACAATACAATCTGGATTACTACCCATCCAACACAGATACCAAATGGGGCAGAGCTTACAAGCTGTATGAAGGGGATTCTGTGAGTGCTTACTGTGTTGGTTGTGGTGCAAACGGCCAGGTCATGTTGTCGGGCTCCGTCTCTTTCTCAATCGCCAACGGCTTTACCTCCGGTGCCATTTCAGCAAATGGCAATCTTCACGGTGTCGCCCAACTAGGTGTAGTCGCGAGCATCGTGAATAACTTTGATCTCACGGAGCAAGTGATCGCGCAAGCGGCATTGAGCGACCTCGTTCTTGGAGGAGTCCTCACAATTGGCCCAGCTGTCAAGCTATCCGCCGGTGCCAATCTCGGCTTCGAGGCCAGTGGAAGCCTTCTCGCAGGTGTCACCCTCGACTGGCCCGCCATTAGTGCAACCGTTGACATCATCAACTCTGGTAATACGAAGATTGATGGATTCAAACCAGACGTTACCCCTGCCTTCCAGGCAGAGGGGTCTGTCGCCGCGAGTGTGACGCCCTACGTGAAAGTTGCACTGGAGTTTACCTTCGGTCTCCTCCAGGGATGATTCAGCAGATCTCTCGCTCTTGTCGACCAGCCCAGCATTACTACGACGGCCAACGTTGCAGGGGAAGCTGGCTCGAGCAATGGCCAACTTACGGGCTCCTTCACCAACGGATGCAAAGGCGTTCTCTTCGAGGGAACGTTTAGAAACCAACTTTATGTCGACATTTTTGGTGTCTCGACGAAAACACTCTTAGATTACACGACCGATCCTATCTGCGTTGTTTAGGGTAAGTTTAGACACTCCTTCTGGCTCGGGCACTACTGACACGGTATAGAACCCCTATTCGACGAGCTCTCCTTGCGCGGCCAGGATTGGCTGCGAACAGCACTGAAACAACGGTGTCGATTATGCAATCTATAGATGGAAACTTCGATCTGCATGCGGGTGAAGACGGCAACGTTTATTCAATCTCGTCGAACGATGCCACGGACGCTTTGGGCGACGACACCCAGGTTACAAGCTCCCAATTCCAAGCTCTTGGCACAACTATCGTGGCGGACTCCAAGTCTCGCATCTTGCATGGCTACACAGACACTCTTTCCAAGTTCGGCGTGAGCCGTCTTCGGTTCTCGCCGGCCAGTGCCATTCCTCAGACTGCAAGGGTTATGTAAGTGAACCACCTAGTCTTGTTATCGGCGATGTATAACGAGATCTGACGATACACGCTTCTCAGGGCCATTGATCCTTCTCAAAACCCTGACGGCGGGGACAGCCTAGGCATCCAAGTAGCTCGTGACACCGCGACAAATGTCTTCCATCTTGCCACGTGTGTATATGACAAAAAGTACCCTAAGGTTTTCCTCGTTGCGGCGAACAACGTGGAAGTAGGCTTGAAAAAGCTCGAGAGCAATGACGCAGACATGATCAAGTCCGTGACTGGCGGTCGTGTTAAGCAATGTGGTCTTCTTGCTGATGCCAACGGCTACAGCAAATTCTAAATTGGAGTGCCCAGATGTCGGACATGAGTGATTTGGTATGAAAGGAAGCTTTTATTCACTATTGTATTCAAAGATTGGCACTCGGCTGACCATGTTTGACTTCCCACTCTAATATTACTATTTAATACGGACAGAGATGAAAAACAGAATTTGGAGCAGCACATCTTTGAGGGAGATCACGATGGATTGAGTTCTCCTCCATTGTCAGGTTTCATCAAATTCACTTCAAGTTGAAAGCTTATTTAATCTTAACACAATAATACCACCTCCAAAGCGAGCTGTGTTTGGCGTATAGGTTGTACCCCTGCTGATGCTATTCCATTCTAATGTTTCTTTCCCAGCTATTTTAATAACAATCTAGTAAGCCATCGCACGGCGATTTGAAGTTTAACTAGATATGTTGTAAGAACTCGTCACTTGGAAGTAATGATAACCCCAATGAAGCCTGGAGCTGAGTTCGTTCGTTAGAAAATATGCCCAGAGCCTCTGAGCTTCCAAGTTGCGAATCCTGTGCAGTACCGCGCATGAGTGATCAAGTTACAATTTCACTGGCCATCCATCAAGGTCTGTTGGCCCAATGGCAAGGCGTCTGACTACGACTTGTGAGCAGTTCACAAGCAATTCGCAATCAGGAGATTGCAGGTTCGACCCCTGCACAGATCATTTTTCATTTTTGTCCAAGTATGTTTGCCCCTGTAGTTTACACCGTTTGACTGGATTTTTGATTTTATCGCATGCGGCCACATAGAATCTAATCTGGCGTGTTTACTAGGGAATATGTGCATTTAGTTCTCAGCCACGAGAGCTCGGGGTGAGTTGGCACAGAGGTCCTCACAACATGTACCTGTCTTACACGAAGTGCTCTGCCTTAGCGCTGAAGCAAGAGAACGCAAGAGTATCATTCTCGAGAAAATTCACAGAAGTCCATCTTCAAAGAAACATATGATGCGCACATTTCCCGTGCCTCAATAGTTTCTCCCTAGCCGATACCAGAAGTACATAGCCGAAAATGAGGAACAAAGCAAAGCTCGATACCGTCTTCGCAAGTACAGTGCCTTAGTATGTGTTAAAGACAAAAGCGTCAGCATGGCATGCAGTCTTTTAAATTTTCTGAGTCCTTTGTAGCAAAGCTGTATATGGCGGTAATAAGACAAGACCGGCTGCAATGTGGTGCGGCATCAGCTCTATATCATTCTTGCCACCCCGCGCTGTGCTTGATCCAGATATACGAAAGCTCATTGTGTTGAGAAGTCACCGGCGATTGGAGGTATCAGGCGCGATGTACCTACAATATCTTGCTCACCTGGCATTCTTGGTTTCAGCCCACGCAATGATTCCGCAGTCCCAGCTGAATGTCACTGCTATCGGAGCACATAACAACAATTCAAGATTCGAATGTTGGCAGCTTGAAGACTCCCCGTTTTCCGCCGCAGTCGTTAAAGGAACGGCTGGAACGGCAATAGCATCTTTGGGCGAAGCGGACAGCTTCTCAGTGTCGATCGGGCCTGCTGGGCTACATGGCGGATTTCATGTGGCCCCACAGCCTCAGTAAGTACCTTTGAACTCGCTCAATCAAAGGGTCTCTATCCCCGTCACTCTTCATATAATCTGACTTTTATGCAGGTGGGTTGTGATCACCTCTGGAGCTGCACTGATTACCGTCCCCGATGGAGACCAATATCCAGGGTATCTCTTCTCGGCCGGATCGGAATTCGGCCTATTGTTTGCAGCTGACACCGCGGATATCAGCCAACTTGGCCATGATTCCTGGTATATCACGGATGTGACATTTCTCCAGATTCGGACGAAGCATGGGGAAATTCCAAGACATAAGGTTCTGCACACGGGATCTTGCCACGCCGATGAGACGGTTGGACTGTCTGAGGGGTTACCCAGTACCAGTATTGACGCTCCCTGAGCAATTTAATTCTGGACTTGTGGTAGTGTACGTAAGGGTTTCAAACGCTGGCCACTGGTCAAATTTGTGAGAGAGGCAATCATCTGGGCAAATGATAACCGGGGGAGGTACCTCCGGTACGAGCCTGTAATCCGGCTTTCCCAAGCCATGCTACTACGCACACATTGGTGACGCAAGTTTATACACACTGGGTCTCTGCGCATCACGGATTTGACTGGAATATCTTCGTTGGTTCCGATTGTTTTTTTTATCTATAGCACTTGTATGCTGTCTTGGCAGCCGGCTCGAAAATAATCATCGAAATCTGATTTTATTTTGGTGGTAAAAAACGCTTGGGCAACAAGGATTGTACAAGCTGTCTCCCAACACGCCGTCTGGGAACCATGTACTCGGAGAAGCGAAATCATAATTGGGGCGGACTGAAGCACCTGGTGCAGTCTGTTTGATAGCCCCTTCCTCCCCACCTCCTGTGCTGGTGCGGATGACACCAGATCGATCAACCGCAGGAGTTGGTGTCGTTTGACGGATACGTTGCCATGACAAATGAAGCAGTCTCGTCGCAATACTGCGTGCAACCGTTCAGACCGTATTCATCGGTGTCGAGTTTCAAGATCCGGCTGATTCCAGTACTGCTTGCTTGCGAAGTACAGTAGGCAGTGATATCAGCTTCACTGGTTGCGGCGGCGCATCCACCCTCAGATCCATCAGTTGTGCTCTCGTCCTGACGCTTCTTGCTGCCACCGCCGGCTGCCAGGCTGGAAGGATACTCGATGTCAAAGGCCGGCTTGCCATTATCGGCGTAGTCTTTATGGCCAAGGATTAGTGCTCAGAATAGAATATGAGGAGAAGAAAACTTACACTTTTGGAAGACGGTACAGAACTCGTCAGGTGCGCCGCGGTTGGAGCCGACATTCACAGATCCGACACAGTTCTCGGAAATTGCAAAGTCCATGAATTCGTGGACGCGCTCTGTGATACTGTACGCATTCTTTTGCCCAATCATGAGGGAGTGACCGAGTGCTGTTGTCTTGGAGTGGGCGTATTCCGCAAGAGCTGTGAGGAAGCTGACCATGTCGTCTTCTGTAATCTGCTTGCCGATGGACTCGTCCGGCGACAGCTCCTAATTCACGAGTCAGCTCCATCATACAAAAGGCGCTCGGATGGACAAACAAATGTATCGATGTTGTCGGGGTCCAGGCCATCGCAACCGATTTCATGCGCCAGATCGATGCGGGCCTTGTGGAGCCCCAGGACGCTCGCATCTGTGACATCGACGTATTTTTCCTGGACGTAGTTCTCGACGGTTTGGCTTGTCTTCATGAGCCCATCGCTTTCCCAGCTTGACCAGTCGCAGTCCGTCGTCTTCACAAGGAACTGCGTTAGCAGAGGATCAGTTTCACAAGCTCTGACCGCTTACTAACCTGAACTGCTCCCAAGTTGAAATAGCACAAGACCGTTGCCCCGGCTTCCTACTGTCTGTCAGAACACACTTTTCCCCGGGCACTTCGCAGAAGAACAGCCATCTGAGATTGGATGACTCGTACATGAAGCGTCGGTATCAAGGTAGGGTCTTTGCTCGCGTGAAACAGATCGACGTCAATGACCTTGGCATCAGGCGGCTGCAGGCCGGCTTGAGGATCGACCGGATTCTGAATTTCTATCTGCCACTTGACTCCAGGCTTAAATGCATCCGGGATCTTGCTTCCTGATGTGGCGTTTTGGCCTGCAGGGGGCGCTGCTGCACCCTGGTTGGCGATCGGAGAAGTTGATGGAGCCGCATTGGCGGCTGAAGGAGAACTTGAGACTTGTGGCACGGCGTGGGGGAGGCATATAGCACTGCAAAGCCCGAGAAGGGGGAGGAACAACACAGTTGCTGCGAATGAAGGCATCCTGATGCTTGGTGTCTAAGGAGCGACTGAAAGGAATGACAAGAAAGGAGCGTGTTGGCGTGAAGCGACACCTGGCGAACAGAATGATGCTCCCGTCTTTCGGTGGACGCTTTTCATGATATATATGGGTTCCCCTTCCGGCTCCTTCGCGTCCAGCTCGAGGGTAAGCCACAGAAAGGACTTTGTGCTGAAAATATGCAGGGTGCCGTGACGAAAAGGCTAGTCCGTTTCAATTAAGGATCTACCCGTGCGTGCCCCTTAGACGCGCTTTTTGCCGCCGTCCAATGGGGAAATCTTCCCCAACTCTACTGGCAAAACGAAACAGCCGTCACTTTTTAGTCTCCAATAGTGGCCCGAACCGCCGGAACTAATTTTGAGATGACAATCTTGGCAGGACTGTCACGTATCATTAGCAAGTAAACGCCGCACAGGCTGGAAGGCATGTTTTGTTCAGGTATTTTATCGTGGCGCCGGAAGCCAAGAGGGCGCCGTACGACCTGAAAGGATGCGGACACCAACCAGAGCGAGGCAAATTAAGCCAAGAGTCAAAGCATTCCGATCTAAGAGAATTTTCTTCCAGTCCTGGCGGGTGATTCAGCTGCTGTGCCACCCTGCGGCGGCGGGTGTGGCCCAGACCTCCCTAATTTTCCTTCGCACAATCCTCTGCTGCATCACACTCTCTCGAGCTGAGCGCTGACGTTTCTAAAGTTAAAATTCGGTAAGCGCAGTAGAATGAGATTTTACCCCTGATTCGGGATTCCTTTCCGCCAATTTAAAGGCACGTGTGAAATGTCTAGTCTCCTACTACCGGTAGGGCGGCTTGAATTTGCACGGATACTTCAGGTACGGTTATGTGAGCTATTGAATTTGGAAAGCACTGGCTCACACATGATTCCAGTTTGGGGACGGCTTTTCATCACGCGGCTGCGTGGTGGCGTTTGTGGCGTTTGTGGATGTTTGAGTTGGTCTCGGGTAGTTGTCAGCGTTGAAAACGACACGTCTCATGAAGGTAATTCGTACAGTTTTCGATACCTATACATTAAGAAACGCCTCTTGTAAATTATTTCATTCCAACCCCCCCCCAAAAAAAAAGTAAGATTCTATCAGAGACTGTCACTCGGAAACACGTCTTGATCATCAGAACAAAGGTACTCTACGTTTCCGATTTCCGCGGACCAACGGGAATAGAGTTAATATTATTAGTTTAAATGAGTGTGGCTACTCTTAGCGTGATAGCTCCAACTGCGAAACCTCGAGGACCATGTATGCAAAAATCAAGAGTGAGTGACAGGAAAGCAACTGCAACTTCTCCCAGACCGATGACCACACCCTGCAAACTAGTTCCAATCTTAGCATGACCATCGCCAGGGAGGTCGAAGGAATCCGACCGTGAGCCTTTAATAAAGCCCAACAATGATATCACCGCGGACACGCGCGGTAAGGTGGACCTCTGCTTCCTAAATGGTTCGTCAGTATCCCGAGTCAAACTCTAACAAGACCAGCCAACCTACCAAGTCCAATTTGATTCCAACCTGAAGGGCGGCATCTTTCAAATCCCCCTTGGAATCCACTGCCCCACGAAGTAAATTGCCTAGATGACACATCAGTAAAAGGTCTGGCGTTTCAAGGACTGGGTGAAGCGGGAGCTCAGGTTGTTGCTAAAGGTCCGCGTCGAGGATGCTTACCCACTGCCCCGTTTGGGTTACCGCTGAGGCCTGGCATGGGAAGATGATGGTGACCAGTGATCTTGTTGTCCCTTTCCCTGTCATCATGTTGTCCACCAAAGCGCGGGACGTTGTTAAGGGCACCGGCACCCGAGGAGGCGCTCGGTGAAGGAGCCGTGGGAGCAGAAGGTG